GTGTGTGTGTGTGTGTGTGTGTGTGTTTATGAAAATCTAATTTTTAAAAAAAAAGTAAAACAAAAAAAGGACGAAGAAAACTGTAATTTTCTTAATATTAACCAGGCCTGAATACAATGTGATAATGCAAATCTACTCCTCCACTTAAAAGCTCCACCATTTTAATCAAATGAAAAAGATTCACAAACAGACATTAACTCACTATTTTCATTAATTTTATAATTAATGAAAATAGTGAATCAGAAGAAGTGTCAAAGACATGCAGAAACCACAGTTTAGTAACACTCCATCTCCCCACTGAAATGGCAGAGATTGTGTGGGATAAAGCGGCCACCCCGTCAGCTGCTTCCTATTCAGCATGTTTGTTTTGCACACACATTCTGTTCACTGCTGAATAAACCAGATTCATTTATGAGGGTTTATTTATAAGGGCACTTGAAGGAAAAATAATTTAACTAATAGCACAATGAGGAGAGTGTACATGTCCACATTTCCATGTACTCATTTGATGCACAGCACCAGGAAAAAATATAATAGCAAAGACACAGTGCCAAGAAGGGGCTGTAAGAGCATTCCCACAAGAATAAAAGGAACAATGGAAAACCACAACAAACAGAACATGAATCCCCCACGCTGCCTTTTGCTCTGTACATCTGTTTCTGTCATCATACATTAAGCCGCTCTATTCTCCGGTATCTCAGTCACATTGTAAGATAGATGAAAATCAAATTAGGCCACCTGTCTTACTGAATTCACAAGCATATACAGTAACTCATCAGTGCCAGGTAAAAAAGATTATCTACTTCTCGTGTTTAAAAAATTTATCTCCAAGATGAAGTAGTGGCCGTGTCTGTTCGTGTCTGTTACACAAACTAGATTAAAGTCTACAAAAACAAATGAGTATCTACTATTATAAGCTGCAGAATACAAAGACAAGGCAGACAGCATCTGTGAGAAGAAATATGTGTATGAAAAGAGGACCTTCGTATTCAAAGTTGCAATAATAATCATGTGGTTAAGGTTATCTAATTATCATTGGGGTACTTGTTAAGTCAAATATTTTGTTGACTCCAGATTATCTTTCTAGTTCTCACTTCCTCCTTTCTTCCATTCATAATTACTATTGATAGTATACTATTGTCTTTTGTCATGTCATCCCTCGTGGTTGTGTTTCCTTGTTCACTGTTCCCACAATCTACTGATATTCTGAGTCCCTGCCCTGTGTATAATCTGGTTTTCCTGTATTATTGTGAATGATGGCACTTAAACTGATATTTTGAGTCATACCGGTTTCCCAAGTGGTGCATTTGGGTCCACGACCTGCCTGTCACACAGCCAACACTTGACATCCCACATTAAAGGCAAATTTAAAACCAATGGAAAATTATATTTCCTGAATATGGTACATGGACGACATATCAAACTCACAGCTTCTATAACACTATAAATTCCTGTAAGGAGGGATTTTCTCCTTATTTTGTGTTTTAGCACTGAACTATGAAATATCAAAGGTTTTAAAACCATCCATCCATCCATTCGCTTCCGCTTCTCCTTTTCAGGGTCGTGGGGGGCGCTGGAGCCTATCCCAGCTGTCATAGGGCGAGAGGCAGGGTACACCCTGGACAGGTCGCCAGTCTGTCGCAGGGCGGTTTTAAAACCAGTTTTTGGGTAATTTGTAGTACTGCTGTAGTACTACCTCCACTGTAAGAGGAACCTCTGAGTGACTTAATTGTACAGTGACTGATCTAGATCAGTGTGGATGTTGGTGTCTAAGCAAGTTAATGGAGCAACAGTGACATTCAGACTTGATTATGTTATTGAAGAAATACAGCAACATTTTCACTGCGCTATTTCAAACTGCTATTGAGGCATTGACACAGAGCAAAGAATTAATAGAAAAAGAATAAACAGAAATAGGGTTGCAAGAAAGTACAAGTTCACTCTGACTGTGAGTGCAAAGAGCTGCTCCAGTGTCCATCAAGTGTTCTACACGCAACCCGATCTTCCTCCTCCCATTCTGATTACCGTTTTTACATTATTCTCCAGGGCCTTCACAGTAATGTGAAAAACCTATTTACATTAAAAAGAAATCTACTTAACAAGAAGTTAGGGTTCAGAGCTAAGGGTTGGGGTCATCACTGATGATGACTTAGACCTCAGAGGGTAAACAACATTTCTTGCTACTCTGTCATTATAAAAAACAGTAACACACAACAATCACACAGCTCCAATAACAATTTCCTCCTTCTTGTTGCAGCCAGTTTGCTAATTGTATTTCTACTGGCAATGGCAGTGCACATGCACATGCAGTTCGAGAAAGCCTTTAAAGGTGCTGAAGTTACATACCTGGAAGAATCTGTCAGAGAGTCTCCAGACCTCTTTGGTCCTCAAGTCACTTGGAGTACATAAATGCCAACATAAACTTTAATTCTGTTATTAGTTGCCATCCTTGTGCTTAATGCCCCTTCTATTCACGAGGAGTTATGTTTGTGTGAGTTGTTATCATTTAATGACAGAGGCTGTCAAGAGAAATTAGCTAGCAATTAAAAAAAATTAACAGCCACAGACAGCCACAAACTCGGGTAATGTATGTTAATGTCATTAACGTATAATTACAAACACTGCAGAACTCAAAGTGAACACTATCAGCATGGGCCTGACATATAAAGAACAAGAAATGTTTACATTTCCAAAAATGTATCTAAACATGCGTTACTCATTTGGTTTCACTTTGCAGCCGTTTTTTTTGTTTGTTTTTTTACTTTTTCCTTAATGAAATCATATCATGACAAGCTGACAGCAGTACCTGAACCCTGACAGTTCAACAGAGTCCAACTTAAGAAAATACCTCTAAATAGATAAAGATGGGGGAAAACCATCAAGCTGGCAACACATAAGCTGAAAAGTGTAAAAACAACAAAATACAAAAAAAAAACTGCACATTCCTGAAATCAAAGAGCACAGCAACCTGAAATTAATTACAGAAACATCAGAGTCTGGCTGTGTTTCAGCCACAGGCTCAACAGGAACATTTTTAGAAACTACAAGTGGTTACTTTTCAGTTAAGGTTTCACACATATATTTTGGTCTTACAGTTCTGAATTTACTGTTGGATTCAGGCAGACAGATTTACCTCTAGTAAATGGTTTGGGGAAATCAAATCTCCTACTTCATGGAAATGAGCCAAAGGGAGAGCAAACAGACATTAACTTATTACACTCTGTTTTTATCTTCACTTTGTCCGATAACAGGCTATATTTGCCATGTGTTTTAGATTTGGGTTGTGGTTTGTGTTAGCAACTGTGTTCTGTGCTGGCACTGATGTCATTATTTGTTTCCACTATGTATTAGGGCATTCTGTGCTTGGTTGTTTTCCATCTTTCCATGTCCTTTAAAATCCTACACGTGTGTTGTAAATTTGGTGAAGATGTTTTTATCATGTGCATGTGTTTTGCAGATTAAGAGTACAGTGAAATCTACAGACACTGGTGTGATTGAAAATA